CTTCTGCGCCTGCCGCTTCTCCTTCTGGCTGAGGCGCTCCTCCAGGGCGCACTGTGCTTCCAGTGCTGGTCGCTGTCGCTTTGCTGCTGATGCTTGTGGGTCTGTGGCTGCTGCTGCTGCTGGTGGCGCTTGTGGTTCTGAGGCTGCTGCTGCTGCTGCTGACTATGCTGCTGCCACTCCCAGGGCCGCCCACCAATGGCTCCGTAGTCGCCAGTCCAGTCTGCGCTGCGCTGGCGCTGCGCCTGGGCTGTGGACCCTGCTCCTGTCCACCTTTTCCCAGGGCCGCGCCGCGACGCCTCGAGGTGTGTGGTCCCTGCTCCTGACCACCTTTCCCTCGAGGCGTCGCGCTGCTGATTCCAGTTCTGCTTCATGACGTGCTGCTGGTGGCGCTGGGGCTGCTGCGCGCTGTGGTGGTTGCTGAGGATGTGCGCAGCGTCCAGCACGCGGAAGAGGGTCCTGGCGTTGGCCCTCTTGTCCCGCTGGCGCCTGCGCCAGGCGGGCTCGCCCTCTCGGGGCGCGGCGGCTCTGCGCCGCCGCGGCTGCGGCGCCGATGGCGCGCTGCACACGGCCACGAGCGGCGGGGGCGACCGACGAGACGACGGCCCCGCCCCTCCTCAGCCCGTGGCTCCTCCTCCTCCTCCTCTTCGTCCTCCCCCTCCTCCTCCAAATCCTCAAGTTCGTCCTCTTGTTCCTCTTTTTCTTCCTCTTCCTCCTCATCGCCTCCGCCTGTTCCTCTTCCTCCTCCTCCTCCTCCTCCTCTCCTCCTCCTCCCTCCTCCTCCTCCTCCTTCCTCCCCCCCCCCCTCCTCCTTCTCGTTTTCCTCCTCCTCCGCTCCCTTTCCTCCTTTTTCCCCATCCCCCCCCCCCCCCCCCCCCCACCCCCGTCTCATATAATCCTCCTCCCTCCGCATCCTCCTCCTCCTCCTTCTCCTCCTCCCCCTCCTCCTCCTGCCTCTCTTGGTCCTCCTGCTGCGGCCCCTCCGCCTCGCATGCATTGTCTTTCCTGTCTCACCCGCCTCCTCCTCCTCCTCCTCCTCGTCCTCCTCCCCTCCCCCCTCCTCCTTCTCTCCTCCTCCTCCTTCCTTCCTCTCCTCCTCCTCCTCCTCCTCCTCCTCCTCCTCCTGCTTCCTCCTCTCCCTCCCCCTCTCCTCTCCTCCTCCCTCCTCCTACACCTCCTCCCTCCTCCTCCTCCTCCCCCACTTACTCACCCACACTCACCCACTCGATGTCTCACTCTCCCGCCCGCTCACTCACTCACCCACTCACCCACCCACCCACTCACTCATTCACTCACTCATTCGCTCACTCACTCACCCACTCACTCACCAACCACATAGCGCGCCTCCACACGAGCGCGCCCGCGCCGCCGCGTCGCGCGGCGCCGCGAACGCAGGGCCGCAACGGGGCCCTGGGCTCCAAGGGGACCCCGAGGGAAGGCGAGAAGGCACTTTGGGCCTGGAGGAACGTGGACGCGGGGACCCAACGCCCAAGACACCCACCAGAACCGAATGCCCAAGAGGGGCCGAGGCAGGGCCCACCGCCAGCGGAGAGAGGGACGCCTCTGAGGGCGCGAAGGACGAAAGGAGGGGGGAGGGGGGCCGCGGCCTGGACCAAAAGGAGGGGCCGCGCCCGCGCGGCCGCCCCGCGCGACCTCTCTCAGGCTGCGGCGACGGCCGCAGGCGCGCACCAGAGGCAGCGCGAAAAGCGCCGCGGTGCCCGGCGCCCGCGGCAGCGCCTGCCAGCCCAGCGCAGCGAAGGAGCGCGGCCAGCCCCCGCTCCGCGGTGGCCTGGCGGCGCTGGCCCAAGCCACGGGCGCGCGCCGTCCGCCTGCTCTCCGCGCGCGCCGCCTCGAGCGCTGGAACTCCCCCGGCGCGCTTGGGCGCGGGCGGTGCGCAACGCACGGCGGCGGGGGCGTCGCACGCGGGATGTTCGAGCTCGAGGCGAACTCCACGAAGTCAAGGGCGACCCGCAGCTCGGCGTCGTCGGCCGCGACGGCCTGCATCTTCGCCCCCATCGAACGCCGCGCTCACCAAGGCGTCGCCGCCGCTCGCGGGGCGTCGTCCGCGCCGAGGTCGGCCGTCCACGCTGAGCTCCCGGGCATCACGACTACGGCACTGCGCTCCTTCATACCATCGCGAGCGCGCGCGGATCCCGTAGCGCAGGCCAAGGTCGTCGTCGTGGAAGGCGGCCTCCATCAGCGTATAATTGCCGTCGGCTGTGTCCCGAAGCTCAGTCTTCAGTGCGCGGTCTCTCTCGACGTCGCCGACGATCAGCCATGCGACGCGGTCGCCGTCATGGATGTCCGAGAAGGCATTCAGGTCGGGAACCATGGCGGCGCCCGTCACCGATGGCATCGCTGGCCTCGGCGTCGAGGGGCGCGCGTCAACGTCGGCTGCAGCGGCCTCTCGATCGGGACGTCGTAGCACTCCGAAGGGAAGCCGTGGTAGCTGGGGTTGTTCACCTGGGCGCTGGAGTAGTGGCGGTCTCTCCTCGCAACCGTCGGCGCGCGCGCCTCCTGGCCCGCCGCAGAGCCTCGCTCCCCATCTATCCCCTGGCCTCCAAGATCTCGATGGTCTTCGCGTCCTTATCCATGAGTCTCCACGCGCCCACTCGCCCCATGGGGTTGCGATTCGCGACGCCAGACGTCGAGGCGCCCTGCCTGACGGCGACGCAGGCGTCAAACGAGGCGCACACGATTGTGGAACTCTGCGCCGCGGCACTCGCATCTGGAACCAACAGCGCAATATTGAGCGCCATCCGCGAGGAGGCGCTTCTTCGCGCGGCGCCTCTTGAGGATGCCTCTGTCGAGGAGGTAGCTCCGCGGTCCGCAGTCGCAGCAGACGCGGCGCGTCTCGTCGCGGCGCCTGTCCTGCCGGGCGCTGGCGCCGCCGTCTGCTCGGTTGCCGCGGAGCTCCACGTCGCTCGAGCGTCTTCGAAGCTGGCGCTTACAGCCCTCAAGCCACGTCCTTCGCCGTGCACCCCAAGCTCTCCTGATGGCCTTCGGCATCCTCTTGACGCCCACCTTGCAGTAGTCGATCCACTCCTTGATGCTGTCGCCGTTCGATGCGCAGGCCCCCCGCGGTGGTGTGCGCACGTAGCCATCCGAAGACGCCCCTCAGCTGGTCGCGCCAGGGGTCGCCCGCCTGGCGGGCGAAGCCGAGCAGGTCGGAAAGTGCCTTGGAGCGCTGTGGACAAGAATGTTGAAATAACGCAGTCTGCGTGCTGTAGTTCTAGCTTCGAGCCCCGCTCGCTCCGCGGCGGCGTAGACTTCCCCGCCAGCCACGCGTCGCGCAACTCGATTCCGGCAGCGTTGTCCAGCTGCTGCGTGGCATCCTCTGCCGCGCGCCGCTCGTAGCTTCATTCGGTCACCCGCCGCCGCCCCGCGCCAAAATTCGGTTTTGCATGGCCATGGCGTCGACGAAATTGGCGCCCTTCACGGCCGGCTGGACGTCGCCCCTGAGCGCGGCTCGCAGCATGGGATCGAGGGCGTTCCGACGGACTAGAACACGTCGCTGAACTTCGCGGCCCCACGAGCCCCCCGTCGCAATGGCGGCGCCCACGTGCTGGCACTCGCAGACGACGTCGATCGTAATAACCCATGCGTTGGCGGCCAGCTTGATGGGTTCTTCTTAAAGATGCAGTTTGGCATGCCTGGCGCCTGGGCCGCCGACACAGACGAGGGCCGCGGTCTTGTTCTTCCCGAAATTGAGCCCCATCGCGCGCGCTCGGAAACACTCGCGCACCAAGTCCGCCAGGCGCTGCGCCCGCGCGAGCGCGTCGGACAGTCGCCCGACGGGATCGCGAAGGCGGCGTCGTCGGCCCACGCCACGTCGCCCACCTCCCCGAGCCCCCCTGCTGGGTTATACGGCGCGTCGGCTTCCGCGGCCATGGCAACGCAGTCCCCGGTCGAGATGGCGAGGCCCACGGCGCGCACCCCCTGGTTCACCGTGGACAGCGGGCGCGTGAAGGCCACGTTGAAGAGCGCGTCAGCAGGCAGTGCTGAGGGCCGAGCCCCGCGACGGGAGACCCCCGCGCCCTCGCGCCCCGCCACGATGGACCAGGCAAGGCGCTGCGCCTGGTCAACGACGGCCTGCAGGTGGGAGCCGGCGACGCGATTCTGCCTCAGTCCAGGCCCCGCGAGAACACCGCTCCGGACGGGGCGAAGGACGACGGGAATGTCGGCTTCGCGGCAGACGCCGTCGCCGCCGCGCTCGCGCCGGGGGGCCCGCGCCAGCAACTGCCTCGCGACCCGATAGAACGCAGCCGATGAAGGACAGGGCGAGCGCGCGCTCGGCGCGCTTCGCGAGATGCTGGAGACAACGAAGTTGATGAGTTGCAAGGGTTGCTCCTCTCCCCTCGCGGCCCCCGAACTGCGAGTCCAAGTAGATAAGCGCCGCCACCTCCTGGGGCTTGCCGCGCATGAACTTGTAGCGGTGCTCGACGAAGGCGCTGCGCAGCCCGATGGATCTGCGCGCGCCCTGGCGGGAGGCGCCGCCCCTGCCCCTGCCGATCTCGGCGAAGATGGCCCGCTCGAGTGCCGAGGGCCCCTGCGTCAACAAGCTGACCGTGGCCAGGGGAAGGCGACTTGGCGCGTCGGCAAACCTCGATGGACAGGACCTCGCCGGCGATGCCGCCATCTCCTGGGGCGCGGCCGCGCTTGCCACGTCGCACGCTCAACTCCGCGTCAAGCAGGGCCTGCGCGTTCTCGACGTTGACCTGCACGTGCCCCAGCACGGCGGCGTCGAACTCGTTGTGTCGCGCGGGCAACCGTCACGCGATCCCCCATCACCGCGTCCTCCATCTTGGAGCGAAGTCGGATCTGCAGTGCTGCCAGCTTCTGCTCGTCGTCGATCACGTTGTCGTTTTCGTCGAAGCGGTGGGGCATAACGTTGCTGCCCTTATGTGTATGCTCTGCTGGCCGCCTCTGAACTGCATGACTTTCTTTAACCATATATACTCGTTCCGGCTTTCTTTGTTCTGAAAGCTTCGCTGAGCTGGGACGCGTAGTGCTCGCAGTACCGATTCTTGTCGTCGTCTAAGGAGTGGCGGAGGTCCTTGGCTGTGACCCTATGGTAGCGGTTGGCCTCCGCCGCCGCTTCGGCGTCGTTGATGGCCCCGTCGGCTAGCATGCTCATGGCGAACGCTAGACGTAACGTCTCCTGTCGTCCAGGCGTCCCTCCAGGGTATAGCACTTGTTTTTCGTGTGCTAGGTGTGTCATCAGGTTCAAGAAGCTGCCCCCCGCTGTCTTCTAAATGCGCATTTCGCGCCTCGCGTGCCGCCTGACTCGGATGAGTCGCATCGACGTGAGAGACACGTGGGATTGAGTCGGGGTCAGCGGGCCTTTGTCGAAAGCTCTAGCCGATGCGTCAAGGATCCCCTGCGCAATCTTCTGTTAGTGCTCGTTGACTACTTGAGCTTCGCGTGCTCGTCAGTGTACTTTGCTTTGCACAGGGCGCGCCTCGCTGGCCTAGATGGAGGGGTAGTAGATGCGAACCTGACCTCCGCGATGACTGGACTGTGGTCGTGGGACTGATGCCGCTGTCGAAGCCGTTCTCCACGTAGCAGTGTTGTACGCAATCGTAGTAGATGTACTTCATCATGCTATAGTCCATGCACTTGTCTTGGCAGCCGGCTGCTCGGTAGGTCGGCCAAGCGTCGTAGTGCTGCGCCGGCTGCTCGGTAGGTCGGTTCAGAATCCTCCTCCTCATGCTCTTCCTGTCTCTGCTCCTCCTCCTGCTCCTCCTCCTCTTCCGCCTCCTCCGCCTCCGCCACCTTCTCCTCCTCCAACTCCTTATGTTCCTCCTCCTCCTCCTTCTCCTCCTCCTCCTCCTCCTCCTCCTCCTCCTCCAACTCCTCCTCCTCCTCCTCGCCCCCTCCCTTTCCTCCTCCTCCTCTCCTCCTCCTCCTCCTCATCCTCCTCCTCCTCCTCCTCCTCCTCTCCGCCTCCGCCCCCGCTCTCCTCTCCTCTCCTCCTCCTCCTCCTCCTCCTCCTCCTCCTCCTCCTCCTCCTCCACCTCCTCCTCTCCTCCTCCTCCTCCTTCCTCCTCCTCCTCATCATCATCCTCATCCTCATCCTCATCCTCATCCTCATCATCATCATCATCATCATCATCATCATCATCATCATCATCATCATCATCATCATCATCATCATCATCATCATCATCATCATATCATCATCATCATTCATCATCATCAGCAGCATCAGCATCAGCATCATCATCACATCAGCATCATCATCATCATCATCACATCCATCATCCATCATCATCATCATCATCATCATCATCATCATCATCATCATCATCACATCATCATCATCATCATCATCATCATCATCATCATCATCATCATCATCATCATCATCATCATCATCATCATCATCATCATCATCATCATCATCATCATCATCATCATCATCATCATCATCATCATCATCATCATCATCATCATCATCATCATCATCATCGTTATCATCAGTAGCAGCAGTATCATCATCATCATCATCATCAGCAACATCATCATCATCATCATCATCATCACCAACACCACCGTACTCATCATCATCAGCAGCAGCAGCGGAATCGCAGCACAGCAGCCTCATCATCAACGTCGTCATCATCAGAATCATCATCATCATCATCATCATCATCATCATCATCATCATCATCATCATCATCATCATCATCATCATCATCGTCATCATTAGCACCATCATCACCATCATCATCACCATCCTTTCCAGCATCATCAGCAGCATCATCAGCAGCATCATCAGCATCATCATCATCATCCTCAGCAGCAGCAGCATTATCATCATCCTCATCATCAGCATCAACAACATCATCATCTTCATCACCACCATCATCATCAGCATCATCATCAGCATCAACATCGTCATCATCATAAGCGGCATCATCATTATCATCAGCATCAGCATCATCCTCAACATCATCATCGTCAGCATCATCATCATTATCATCATCGTCGTCATCATCAGTATCAACATCACCATCGTCATCAGCATCGTCATCTCCATGATCGTCGTCTTCATCATGATCAGCATCAGCAGCAGCACCAGCATTATCATCATCAACAGCATCATCATCATCGTCAACATCATCATCAGTATCATCAACATCATCATCATCACCCCCATCGTCAGCATCATCATGATCGTCGTCGTCATCATCAGCATCATCATCGTCATCGTCATGATCGGAATAATCACCAGCATCACCATCATCACCACCATCAGCATCATCAACATTAGCAGCATCAGCATCAGCATCATCGTCGTCGTCGGCATCGTCACCATCATCACCATCGCCATCGTCAGCATCACGATCATCATCAGAAGCAGCAGCAGCATAATCCGAGCCATCCCCATCAAGATCAGAATCATCATAATCAGCATCAGCATGATCATCAGCAGCATCATCATTATTAGCATCATCGTCAGCAGCATCATCAAGTCAGTAGTCAGCATCATGATCATCTTCAAAATTCGAAGCATCAGTCTCAGAATCATCATCAGCAGTAGCGTCATCATCACCATTATCAGTAGCATCGTCATCAGCATCATCAGAATCATCATAATCAGCAGCATAATCATAATCAGTTTGATTATGTGCATCGACATCACCATCATCAGCATCATCATCATCCTCATTATCATCAGCATCGTCATCTGCAGTATTTACATCATAATCCGCATCACCACCATCATTTCATCATCATCTTCATCGTCCTCACAGTCATCATCATCATCATCATCATCATCATCATCATCATCATCATCATCACCATATCAATCTCCTCCATCCCTTCTCCTTGTGAAGACCTCCTCCCTGTCGCCCCCCCAGACGTGTCCGTAGGACGGGTCCAACGTGTGGCCTGAGACTTCCTCACCATGTATGATCCTGAAGCTTGAAAAGTTCAACAGCTTCAAGGACTCAAAGTGGCTCGTTTTGAACATATGGCTCTCGCCTGAGCGCCGCACACATTTCTAATAAATGCGCACAATAGCCTTAAGAATGCAAGGAGGCCCTTTTTCGCAAAGTGGCTCTCGCTTTAGCGCCACGCACATTCGTCTTTAAAAGTTTGCGACAGACTCAAGGAAGGAGGACGGTTGCTATCCTTGAGGTGGTTCTTGCCTTAGCGCCGCACACATTCGTTGGAGAGCCGCGCTACTGTTTCAATGATTCGCATGGCTGAGATCCCAGGAATGCCATTCTGGAGAGATGTACGATTGTCCAGACGCATGTTGACTCGCGGCATAGAAGACCCAGGAATGATGCTTTGGCAAGATTAGGGCTTCTCGAATAATTGCCTTCCAACGGGGCACCTCCACCAAGGACAAAAATAAAAGTAGGGACCAATGAAGAAAGAACTTGGAGGGAGGGTTTATTGCAACATCTCGATGCGTCTTGGAATTACAGTGGGTTTTCCCCTCCTCCTCCTCCTCCTCCTCCTGCTCCTCCTCCGTCTCAACATCATCCCAATCCTTCCCTTGTCAACCTCCTCCGTTCCATCCTCTTTCTCCTTCCTCACCCTGAGCCTCCTCAATGTCATTGCATCTCCTTTCTCTGGCCTTCCCTCGCTCATTCCTTGTCCTCCTCCTGTCATAACCCTCGTCCTTCCACATTCGAGGAGGGATGGCGGCATAAGAGGAGCCGGAAGCCTGGGACAGTTTCTTGTGAATCATGTATTTGAATTCGCCGCAGAGCATGCTGCCTCCCTTTTTAGCTACGGTGGTGGCGCTCTGCTGCCATCCAATCCTTCACTCACTCACCTACTCACTCACCCACTCACTGCCTCCCTCTATCCATCCATCCGTCCATCCATTCATCCTCCGTCCTTCCTTCCCTGTATCCCATCACTTCCGCCTTCGTTCCCCTTCCCCCCAGCTTCTCATCTTCTCATATCCCTGATCCACTCACTCATTTTGAGGTTACGGTAAGCAATTGGGCCACGGATCTGGTGAAATTCAAATTTTGGCGTGCGTCGGCTCAGTCTGACCTCAGGTATTGGGCTTAGGTTTGGGCGCTAAGTATTAGGTTTGGGCGCTAAGTATGGGTTTGGGTGAAGGCTAGGCTGAGGAGCATGAGATATTGTGGTTAGACTGACAGCGACAGACTAAGGTAAACGAAGGGATACTCTTGGAGATAATAGTCAGGGTCAGCCTTATGGTTAGGTAACGAGCGCTGTCAGGGTTGGGCTCACGGTATAATTCGAGACGAAATATGTCAACTGGGTTAATCGTGGACCACGGAATCGGAATCTGGATTCAACGTCTAAGGTTCAAACTGAGACCGTAAAGAGCAGCATGCGGCCACTGTGCTCAGTCAGAAGTGGGGAAGGAAGGAGAGAACGTGAGGAAGGAGCACATAGAAGCGTGATGCGTAATCAAACGGGGGGACTTTGTACGCTGAAGCTGGCGGGCGAGGAGGAACAGGCGGCAGAGGAGGATGACGAAAAAAATTGAAAGAGCTGAAAAACCAAGCGAAGAAGAAGGGAAACGGAAGGGGGGCAACGACGAGGAAGAAACCGGATCCTGAAATGTGGCCCACGCTTGAGCGAGTGCGCTTTTTCTGGTCGAGTGGGGCAAAACGCCGATCCTGCAACGTGGCCAACGCTGCATCGAAAGCACATTGTTGGAAGGGCGTGAACATTTTGGTCGAAAAATGATGTGTGAGACTAGCGGAACAGGCGGCCCCCGCGCAGGACAGCATCAGGGGAGAGAGGCGAATGGAGTTCCTATAGTATTTGCGGAGGGAGGGGGCGGGAAAGGGGGAGGACTATCACGAGGACGAAGACGACAACGAGGAGCACCAGAGAAGCATCAAGCAGACCTTCTCAATAATCCGCCGCCCGCGCGTAAATTCGCTCGAGACCCGAAAAAGATCGGGTTTCCTCTTTCGTCTTTCCTCAAAATCGTTCTGAAGTCTCGAGACGCATCTGGAGGTCCTGGGGAATCCCCGTTGTTACCTCCAGAGGTGGTATCCTAGAGACCTGCAAAAATCAAGAATCTTAACACGCCTCGATTATCTGCATTCGATCCTCGATCCTTCTCGATCCTCCTCCTCCTGTTCCTCCTCCTCCACCCCTATCCGTCCTCCCCCCTCCCCCTCCCCCCCAGCGTTTTGCAAGTTACCCGTAAGGATGGGAGGCTTCGTAGCCGAATTGATCGGCAAAATGTGTGTTTGATCATATTGTTGCTCTTACTCTTCATGTTCATCCTCTAACAGTCTCTTGCTCAGGCTCATCTTGTGGACTGGTGATGTACTTCTTGTTGCCATGGCGAGACATGTGCATAGAGTCCGTTCAGCTTGTGGATACGACAGACGACGAGACCCGGCTGGCCGGCTGGGCGCGCGCGGGGCGGGCGGGGCGTTCCCTTGCCATCGCAGCCAACGCGCAGCTGCGGGTAGATCACTGCGCGCTGCTTAGGCACGCAAAGGGGGTCACTAAATCAACTCGCCCCGCGGCCTTCCCGGCGAGCACCACCCGCACGGGTGGGCGGCGCCGATTTGCCAACACGTCCTGCAACGCAACGCCCGGCAGGCAGAACCCCCGCTGGCCGGCTCGCCATGCACTCAGACGATCGGTGCATAGCACCCGCGTGCTACGGCGGCTCATTGCATCCATTGTGGACGCACTTGAACCGCGATTGTGAGTCTCGTCGGGGCACTGTCAGCATAGCCGCGCTTCCCCCCTCGTTCCCCCCCCCCCACCTCCAACTGTGATCGATGCGGCTCCAGCTGCCACCATGCCAACTGTCCGAGCCCCAGCTCCAAGACGACCACCAGTCCCCGGCACCTCTCTGCCACGGAGGGGAGGTGTCCGCAGTCTGCTGCCCCGCGTCGGTACACGCGCGCCACGGGCGAAAATCCCCCGCGCGGCGCCGCGCGGCATCTGCCTCGGCACGCCATGGGGCGCCCAAAAGAAAGTCGCGGGCTGCAAGCGGCCTCGCGGCAGGTGCGGAACTCGAAGAGACAGCCCCGCGCTCTAGGACGTGCCCCACTGCGTCGGGTTCTCGGCTCGGCTCCGCCTGGATTATTGCTGCTCATCTGGCGCGCGAGCCGACCCCGTTCTCCCCGCCCTTGCCCGCGGCGTCATCCGACGTTCTCGCTGCGGCGGCGCGGCTCTCAGGCTTCGCAGAAGTCGGCTTCTTTGCCCCCATTGGCAGATGGCTCGCGAGAGAAGGCGCCAGCCCCGACAGTCGGTTGGTGTCTGTGCCCTCGTTTCACGCGCCATCGGCATTGGGGCCCTCGGGAGTTCTGCCCGAGGCCAGCGATCCACGATTTCTTTCTCCATGGCAGCTGTCAGTTGGCTGAGCGGTTCGACTTTCCTGGCCCCTGGGGACGTCGCACACCATGCGACCCATCCAACGCTGGGCTCATCATAGCAACGTTCAGCTGGACGGGCATAATCCCAAACAAAGGGGACCAGGATGGCATAGCCCCACCCCCACCCATTATCCCCCTGCTGACGCGCGGCCACCGCGCCCTCGGATGGACTACCGCATCCTTCCCTGTCGCAGGCGCATGGAGGTGGTTGTTCTGGAACTTGATCCATCTGCGCGCCAGGCTCCTCGCCGCTTCCAGCTTGCAGGGATGCCGCGGCACGGGAAGCTCGTCATCTGGGGACGTAGACAACCTGGCAAAGACTGTCATGATGTTGCTGTGAAACGCAGACTTGCCCTCCAACGCGTTTTCTCTGCGGGTAATTCTGCCCGCAGCGCCAGCGTCTTTCCACTTCTGCTGCGTCCTTGCTTGCGCGCGATCGGCGTCGGCGCTCGTACACCTCCTCGCCGCGGGGTCACGGACATAGTCATGGCGATTCCGTCTGGCTAGACCGATGTCCCGGACTGCAATTGCCCTAGACTTCCGTTTGGCTAGACCAATGACCGGATTCCGTTTGGCTCGTCGTTAGTCGGGCTCGGAGAAGATAGCCCCGCACTGCAGTTGCCCTACGCGTAAGACAACTCAGTGCCCCCATCCGATTGCGGCAATCGCTGCTGCACAGGAGGTCGCCTTTGCCCCATCTATTGGGCGCGCATAGCGCGGCCTTTCTCCGCGGAAGCGAGCTCATCGCGAACACCCTCGTTGGGTGTGCGATACAACTCCTGATGCTGCTTAACCCAGTCAACGCCAGCCGCGTCGGAATCGGTGTAGACTTTGAGCGCAGCGCACCGACGGCCATGGACCAACGCCCAAGCTGCCCGAGCACGCTGCATCCCCGATACAGTAAGCCGCATAATATGATGACTATCGCTCCACTCGGGGCGGAACGCGGTCGCCAGCGCGCCGTCACGCTGCACTCAAATGTCATGGTCCTTGAAGATGCGAGGCTCAAAGGCGAGCGCGTGGGCCTCCGAGAGCAGGCACGGATCATCCAGACCAAGAACACTGGCATCGAATGCCAGGCCAGCAACCGCTATCGCCCATCCTCCAGGTCTAAGCCACGTCGGCAACTCCCCGCGCATTTCGCCGCACTCGCCGCCCCATGTTTTCTCGACCAGCTCGACCGCCCCATGGGATCCCCATTCTCCATTCCAAACAACTGCGTCCTTCGGGGCCTTGTGCGGTCCGAGCTGAGCAGACAGACAGGTAAGGAAGCTGTACTGGAGGCCCATCTGCGGCGATGCGATGTGCCCGGTCATATACCTTTTCATCGAGGCATCGTCAAGGGGGATGACCATCGCCTGATGGGAGTACGTAGCCGCCTCATCGTAATGCGCATGCGCTTTGGGCCAACGACCCGTACCGACTAGCCCATGCAGGCGCAGAACAACAACGGCACTCTGGCCATGGGCGCCATCGCCGGTGTTCCTCTCTCGACATAGTCGTCCTCTGTCGGTTTGCGCCCGAAGCTCTCGTCCCAATCGTCAGGCCCAGGAGTTGGGCCGTCGTCGGCGTTCGCCATTTTCACGCGTTGTTGGAGGGGACCTATTACGGGGCCGACGAGAAGCGGCGTCTCTTTCTGTTCATTTTGTGGTTAGAGGTTACGTCGACTAAATCCCTCCAACGTTTATGACAATGACTTCGGTTTCGATGATTAGACGGCTCTCGTACTTGTATCGTGGTAGCAGTACGGCAGAGCAGCCCAAGATCCTTGAGCATTATGATACCGCTGAGAAGGATGCAAACACGATAGATCGGCAGCCTGTCATTGTGGAGTACATTACTACATCTACGAAGTCGGTGCGGCATCAATTCAGAATTCGACGCCCCCACCGACAGTCGCGGCAGCGGCTGGGACAAGAGGTTCGTTGTTCTATCACGAACACAGGTGGTCTGGATTGGAGCAGGCTCGACAATCGAGACAAGCTCCAGATGTTTTTTCGAGAGCAGCGGCGGCAGCATGTACAGATATGTCTCCTCTCAGAGCTCCACAACGGCACATTCGCGCTGGACAACAATACCCCTACGATCGTGAATATCGAAGAGTTCGTTCTTATTATGACTGAGAAATGTGGTTTCTCGCTATCGATGCCTGCCCAGATCGCCTGGCGCACGGCATCCTCCACGCTTGTATCGGCTGGATCTCTGGTTACCCTGTGGGGTGATCGATGTGTTGCTATTCCAGTCTTGCTTGAAGGACATTATATGGTGTGGGTGGTCTCAGTATATATCCCCACGGGAGGTACGGCGGGCTACAGGTCACATGTGTACGATGACCTCTCTCAGCTCCGCCACCGGTGCCTCCAGCTTGGCCAAGCTCCAGTCTTA